AGCCAATTAAAAATTTCAGAAAAACAAAACACGAAATATGTATTTCTCAACTTTTAGTTTGTAGTTATATATTTTAACGATATTTAATTAAAAAAAAAACATTTTTTTAGTTTAATTGTGTTATTGAAAAAAAAAACAGCCCTGATCTAATTTTAATTGCACTGCCGATCTTGCAAGAGTTTAGTGATATTTCTTTAATGATGTGAAATGTACAATATTCTTGTGTAATTGCACTTTTCCATGCACTGGATGTTTGTCTTTTCATGTTTCCAAAATTATGTCCCACTTTTGTGTTAAATACACCAACTGTTGCTCTCAAATAGCATCATACTTGCGCGATTGTCCTCCGAATCAATACTGAAATCAGTTGAGGCCAGCATAAGATTGCGAAGCAACAAGCGGTACAGTCATTTGGTTAATATGTGATTTAACCACAAATGTAGCGATTTAAAATTCACGTCTGTAAGTGTATGTGCCGGATGGTAAATTGGTATTCCCCGAGTGACAATATTAGGCAATGAAATGAATCCCGGTGTGGGTGAGATGAGGGAATTTGCGCCGCAGCGGACGAGGGGCCGAGGGTGCCTATTTAAATGGGATTTGATTGTGTGATGGAAAGTAAATGAATTCAAAGGTAAATCAGCGAGTCATCAACTCTACACGGTTGGGTGGATGTTGGAAATTTTTGTATGTACAGGCGCGCGAGTCCGGGAGTGGGGCTGATGGTGGATGTCAGAGGAAGTAGAATTTAATTCCCTCACTCTGGGCTCCGCACTCACACCTTTCGATTGCCTCTCTGTCGCATGTCAATCTATTGTGGAGTGCACAGTCAATTGTTGGCAAAGTGCGTTGGAAATTAGATTAGGCAAGGAAGTTTACCAACAAACAACACTGAGTCAATCAAATAATAAGAGGAGGCTTTCTGAGTGGGAGTCCATGGCCTTTTCCAAGCGCGCTGAAGGGTGCATCTCTCCCCCAGCGGATGGGACGTATAAGAATGGTTTTACGGTGTTCTTTGAGGAATGCACTCCCGCTTCGCAATGCAATTATTCACTCCCTATACACTGCTCAGAATAGCAACAAGGCCAGAAGAGGCTGTTCTCTGTCATTCAACAAAGCTTCTTTTGCCTTCACAAAATTTACACGATAAAAGTAATACACCTAATTGAAGAGATCCGACCATCGCTCAACAATTGGGCTGTTTGCATATATTTCCAGTCCCCTGCTTGATCACTGCTTGGCCGGTGCGAAACCCCTCTAATCACAACAATCCAAATGGTGTGAGGCGTAAAGTATACCATTTGAGAGCATATCTTCAGATAATCACATCTCAATAGCACACTCGAGTCATCTCCATTTGATGTTTGATGATTTGCAAGGATCTCCGGTCTAATTTGGTGTATCCATCCATAAAGAGGCACTTTATAGTCTAATTTTAACCGCACATTTCTGTGTGTGCCCAATGAAATGGAATGTGCCTGTGTGATTTTATATTTGGGCTCTTTTATTGCCATTCAAGTGAACAAAGTAATGTTCCATTCATTTGATTTTGTGAATAATTGTGTGACATTCCAAAAGAGCCCAGCTATTTGTATTACATTATATTAGCAAAAATATCATCATGTATTCTCTCGGTTTTGTCAACTCTGGATGCCACAATAAAATCACAGGCGAGGCATCATCAAAGCGTGACACACAATGCTAAAAGGTAGACCTTTTTGAATGATTGAAGTCGAGCCCCGATAAACACGTAACAATATTATATGGGAGGTCTTTTTCCTGACACTGCGAAGCCATGAAGAAAAAAATAACAAGCCGGAAGTTCACTATTCTCTGCCAGAGTAGGAAGTTGTTTTAATACAATTAAAATCGCGTTATTTATGGAAAATATACTCTATCATCATTTTTGCCTTCATGATAGCGTTGTGTTGCGAATTTTAGACACTGGAAGGCTGAAAATGAATGGGTTTCAATTGCATTTTACTGTCTTATTGATTGATTTCTTCTATACTTTGAAAAAACCTTGTGGTAATTGCAAGAGGATATTTTTTTGCCTGGCCTCACGTGTTTATCCAAAATGTGCAATCTATAATAGATTTTGTAGGCTTGTCATTGTTTACTTTGAACATTATTTATGTATTTCTGAGTTGATGTGAAACACAAAGCCAACAACTCTTAAACATTACATATTTACCTCAGAAATCTGTATAAATACACAACCTTTTGAATTAAGATAACTCATTGGAGAAGCAGAAACAATGTGTCAGCAGATGCCGGAACTATATAGAGGTGAAAATGCCACAAATTCTACCTAGAAATGTCACACAAAACCTACATTTTCCCAGAAATGACAAGCTGGACAATACATATGTGTTTGGTACGTTGTCAACAATGCATCCTTTTCCATTCACATGCACTCGACGTTGACTTGGCCGCCCCTCTGCGCTGACAGTCACCTCATTATTGCCGAGAGTTACATTTATTTGGTGCAAATGTCTCTTGTCTCTTGTGTATGTACATTGGGAGGCCGTACTGATGAAAGTTGCCGAGTCGAGGCGTCGAAATGGGCAACAAACAAAATGTGGACCTCCGATCAGGTGAAAAACAGGACGCACACGAGATGAGAGACATCAATAAAGCGCGGTTGCACTCGTCACCACCCATTTCATGTTTTTAGGCGGTCAAATGCACAATAATGATTGCATTTTCGCTTAAAGAGTCATGCTTGAAACATTGCCCTGTACTTTTGTAAATATCCATGTTTGCCAACGTGGACGTGACATGTGAAAAGAGTGGCAATGCACATTCACACCGCCCATTTGACTGGCAAAAAAATATATAGAGATGCGCCAAGAGAATATCGCTGAAAAAAAGGTGGAAAAACAAACATCAAATTTACTACTTTGTTACTCAATCCGCACCAATCGAGTGGACAACGATTGTAGCGCGAGTAGCAGCTGAATTATTTTATGTGCGGGAGAAAGCCACTTAAAATCATCGAACTGCAAATCCAATTTCATTTTGAACAAAAACCGGGCGAAATATAGTGGAGCAATAGGAGCGCAATATGGAATTTATCATGCACCTCGCAGGCCATCCATTCACCACGTGGCAGAGGTGTTCTTAAATGGTTCGGGATGCGCGTTCATCAACATTGTTTGATTAATTAAAATTTCATTCTCTCTTTCATTTCCAAATCTGCACATATATATTTTCTCATTCAAATGCAATCGACAAACATGGAGACTTTTTTTTCCTCAATCATTTACACAATTGAACTCAATTTCCCCTTTAAATCAACACCCTTGGACATATTATTCAATATTTTAATAATATAATAGTGTGGAGATTGGTGAGTGAAACTCCCCATAGAAAGGCAATTTCAATAGGTCATCATTCCCACCACTGAACGTCCAGCTCGTTGGCAATCCTCGCATAAAAACACTCTCACATTGGACAACAATGGGGTATTTTAATTGAATTCGACAGATCAATTAAAAAAGTCGACTATCACATCTTCCAATAACTATTTTGCATTTATTCACATTTCTGTTAGTTAATTCTCTCTGACCAGCGAGGCCAAATGAATTCAATTTCATCAGAAAGCGCACTTTCTTTTGGTTCTGAATTTGCAAAATTCCGAAAATCCTAATAATTTTCTTCTTGGGCATGTCAAAAGATAAATTTGAAAAGGAAATTTAACACCCCATTTCCAAAGAACCACCCTCAGTTCAGACCCTCTTCCTTCCCCGTAAATGGCGGGAAAGCAATTTACAGAAATCATAAATTGATTTTCATATGAAATTTTCAGCTCTCATTGAATCACCCAAACCTTCCGATACACAATTTAATATCTTCCTACCTCTCAGTCACATTTGCATTCCCAGTGAAATGTGCGGATGATGCAGAAGTGAAGACTTGGAGCTTGAAACACTTGCCAAATGGAGCAATTTGGGCTCTTTTTTGACCCTCTCATCCCATCTGTTCCCCGCATAGCCTTCACAAGAGAGTCTACGCCGAGAATTTTGAGGGTTGGACACGGAACATAATGTGTGGCGAGAGAACTGAAGCAGGTGACGAGAGCTCTAGTGTGTCGCGACCGGAAGTAGGGCCATTTCGTGACAGATTATTTCCGTCAGTGCGCTTCGTTGATTCCGAATAGTCACTCACCAACGCACAGACACACTCTCGGTATTGTAAAATTGCTGAAAATTCTCTAAAATTATCCACATTCTCAACGGAAAGCTTGTGTAAATTCTTATGTGTGAAAATAAATGGTATAGAAAGAAAATTCTATCCACAAACTCAATTTGTCATACAATTAAGATAAAATGATTAAGCTCTTATTAGGTCGTGTGAACGTGGGATTTTCACAGAAAATTTGTTTCAGAGCACACAGTGTTTACTCAGTGATATCTAAAGCTGTTGATTGAAATGATACTTTTGACCTGCTCTTCAACAGCACTACATAAATTCTAATCTTTTCAATAAAACGCCTGAAATAGTCTTTCGAGGGTATTTATTGCAATGCTTTTCTATGCAAATGTTAGATGTGATAGAAGAATAATCTGTTTAATATAATATGCGTGGAAAATTTATGCTTGATGTTTAATATCAATGAAATCCTTCCTAGCGTGTGTGTCCATGGCGCGTCAGCCTTCTAGCTCGCACTGACGCACTTGCATACACTGTAATGACGAAAGGGTGCAACTCTCGAAATGGACAAATTTTCCCTCGTGTGGAAAATCGTTATTTCATCTCATCTATTCTGCCGTATCCATAATGATAATGGGTGTTGTTGCTTCTTTTTTGCACTGAGATGGTGTGAGGTTCGGAGAGCGTGTGCGAATTGTGTGTTCAATTTGGGAAGCTGAAGAGGCCACACGGTCCAGGACTTTTATTTAGGGATGAGTGACCTAATTGTGTGATTTGTGGGTAAATCAGGTATTTTGTGTGCGACGAAGTGGGGACCAATATGGTGTGGAGAGGAAATAAATCAATTAGTGGCCGCCTCCTGGCTCGTATGCGTGCCTCCAAATGTCCACGAGACATACAGATGCGTGGAAGCGATAGAACATAATCAGTGGCAATGACAAGTGGTTGAGGATGGACCACAGGGTATAGCCGTAGAATGTGTATCTGCAATTACGCAAGGATTTTTGCATGTATAGAGAATTTTTGGGAGAAAGGGCAGTAATAATGAGGTCACCTTTCATCACCGGTGTCGGCTGTCTTCACTGAGAATGTGTAGTAAATCCAGAGCGAGACATTCGCGATGGTCAGGAAGGTGATGAGTTCCCTGCCGGGCTTATTTTTCCGGTTGACGGCCGAATTGGAGCATCTCCTCATGCCGTCTATGATGAAGGGCGTCTGGATGAGGATTTGGATGAGCTGAGCGATAATGATGCAGATGTTCAGGACAGATCCGAAGTAAATAGCTGGAACCATGCTGAAGATGGTCTCGAGGAAGAAGGCAGGGATCGCGATGAAAAGCAGAACGTCGTCCAGTTTAGACATGGGATGAGTGTTGACGTCCAATTTGGCGGTTTGAAAGTATGCCATGAGGACGGTAATGATCAACAGAATTAGAACTGCTAGTTCAAAGCTAGAGTTCATGGTGATACCGAGTTCGAAGTAGTCGCTGGAAGAGAAGAAAGGTTAGACAGTCCTAAAAATTAAAACCTATTCTAATGAATTTACTCTTCATTAACAGCCACAAAGAACAGGATTATTATTACGATGGTCATTACGATCAGGATCATTCCTGCGAAGAGACCTCGACTGGCTGAATGACAGTCCGCATGGACAACAATGTGGCTTTTGAAATTGATGTCGTGATTCACGCAGTGATCGTACGTCGAGACTGAGTCATCAGCTGAAATTGGCGTCTTGGGAATGTCCATCGGGGAAATACCACCATTTCCCATGTGCTTCTGATCGTGATGGTCATGTGGATCATCGTGGTGACCAGCAGCAGAGTGCTTCTTGGGACACTGACTTATATTCGCCCAGATAATGTAATAGATTCCAGCTGTTGATGGAAAATATCCGATAAGATCAGGGAAGCGTTTTTGCCCTCTTATCGCAGTTAGAATATCTTACTCACCGATTAAGATGCAAAATTCAATGACGAAGGGGTAGAGATATGGTGAAAAATTGCGAAAAATATTATTGAGCTCTTCCGGTCCGGGACACTTGATGGCATCTTCAATGGAAATCCAGTCAGTGGCATTCGATGCTAAAGCTTGCTCACGTTCAGCCTCGAGGTACTTGATTCTGATGGCGTCCACAGTCTCCCGGACAATGGTGTACACCCAAAATGCCATTGAGGTGCCGATGGCGTGCATCAGGAAGAATCTCGCAAGTCCACGTGCGTGATTTATGATCACGTTGGCGTACTTGAAAATGAAGAAGAGCACGAAGAGGCTGTACAGCGGAAACATGATGTCCAGAGCCAATGTGAGAGAAGAGGCACACTTGTGAAAATCTGGGTCCGTGGACGTGAGAAAGATCACTTGGTAGCTCACGATGAGAGCCGAGTGAATCAGTAGGCCGAAGCAGAACCAGGCGGCACCTAGCTTGAGGTAGAACAGCTCACCGTGCCTTCCGGTTTGGAAGCAGTACTTGTGACTCACTGATTCCACAGGTTCAATGTCCCAGACAGGATTTGCGTTTGAGTTTGCTAATTCGAGAGGTCCAGTCTCGTTTTGCAGTTTGGACAGGTGCTCTTCAAACATCATTTGCCTCTTTTCGCGCTTCTTCATAGTCTCTTTCGCCTTCTTGATGTGCAGCCGAATGTCAATGTAGAGACTGATAAAGTAGATAAATCCCACACTGAGCATGTAGATACCGAAAGCCTGTGAATAAGTAGATAACAGCAATATTTTGCAGTTGTAGGATCGGAAAATCCAGCATTTTTACCTCTCCAATAGGATACTGTGTAACAACTGCGTCACCGATAAACACCACCATGCCAAAAATCACCAGGAATATGGCGTAACATAGTGCAAACACGGTGGCGAAGTATCGCCTGCAAAGAAGGAAAAGATCTGTCATCTCGATGAAAAATTAATTGACCAGTAATCCAGCTAATTCGTCAAACAATTGAAAGAAATTGAATTACGCCACTATAAAAATGTCGCCCTCTGAGTAATTAAGAAACGATCAATTTGATTTGATTGCCGCACGATTGGGTCTTTCAGATAATGTCTTAGTCCTATAGGTGCTTCTGGCAGGAAATCCCCGATGACTTTATTGCCCATTCATAATTTCAGCAACAATTTTCCGTCATATAGGCTGAGCGCGTAAGTCACTTTTGATATGTTGCGAAATAGTTGATTGGTTTTTCTCTAAACAATCATGCATCAAGTGCTTGTGCAAAGTGTGTTATTTTTTAAGAAACTTGTTGTGTTTTCTTAACTAATCTGTAAAAAATCAAATAATACCGGAAATGATAAAGCTGTAATCTGGCGTAATCTTGATTTTTGCACGCAAAAACACAAACAGGGAGTTTTTCAAGACGAATCAGAGAAATGTGTATTTTTGTCTCCCCAACTAATCTTAATGAAAAAAAATTGAAAATTATATTAATCAAAGTGTTTTGAAGATATACCCAGGGGGAGATAATATAGATAAAAGTGGTCTATAGCACAGCGGAAATCTTAGGAAGTGGAAGTGTTCGAAAACTTACAATATTCCTGTTCTGAGTGTTTCTTTTACTGACAAATTATACAGCTTCATTGAACATCTGACGATTTTTACGTAGAAACAATCGTAATAATCCTTCTCAGAAAGAATGTTCAGACTTAAGGCTTATTATCTTCCCTCTATAAGTGAATTTGATCTTTGAAATGTTACTAAGATTTTAAAAAACCTTGTAAATTGACTGCACTTCTTACCTGGTCATCTTGGACTTCTCCCTGTCGGTGGACGGAGGTGGGATAAGGTGATCCATGTCGGATTGAACGGAGTGTGTCTGACTGGGAGCCTGGTAGGAGATGGCGCGATTGTAGGACCAGATTCTCGGCCCGTAAGCACTCGGCGATTTGGTGCCATTCGAGTCGATATGATTGTTGAACGGTCGCGGATGTTTTCTGTAGTGAACGCCACCATTTCTATCTGGATCACCATAATCATCGTCCTGATTGTTCTGCATGGTGGGAATTGTCAAGCTGAGTCCTGTCTTGGACGCCTCCTGCTTTTTGGGGGGGATTATAAGACGTGACTGATTCTTTTGCATCTTAATCACACTTTAAACAGAAATAATACCAACGTCACTCAAGCGGGAGATAGAAGGGGGTGGATTAGCGGTAAAGACAATGATGAGTCTCTTTATCAGTGGTTCTCTGGGTTTTTAGCCATTATCAAAATCGCCCCTGGATCATGTGAGAAAGACGGAGGCAAAAGACAATGGATATCGTCTTAATACGCGATAAATTTAGATTATGGGAATTTTTTATCACATTTTCTTTTGGAATTTGACACTTCCTCCTTCTCGACTGGATGGCGAGGTGAAGACGATGTGTTGCAAAAAGAACAGCCATTGAATTGCACCATTGATTGAAGTCTCTGGTGAGTGAGGACATAATTGCTTCCAACTTAGTCACTGTCAATAAGTGTATGCTCAATTCTCAGCAATATGTTGTATTCATTGAAACGGAATGCCTTTGAATGCCGAGTGAAATTCTGTGGCGCGGATTGAGGTGTGGCGATGAGAAGAAGCGAAATTTTCTAAATGGTCTGTATCACAAACAATCTGTGTGATATTCACTGGGCTGGAACTAGTTTCCAGGCCACAGTTCAAGAGGGAAAATCGAGGATAATTTTATCTGCTCATTAAGTTCATCAAGTGGTTCGACGAAGGCTCATCGTGCGGAATTGTGGAGGAGACAAATAGAACTGAAAGAGTGGTTCATTTTGACGATGAATCGCTCCATGTCTCAATGCTGCCCCGCTTCCCTGTGGAGCTGTGAAATCTCGGCATGTGCCGCGGGGGCGGGGAGGCGAAGGGTTTGCCTCTCAGATGTTGGCCAACTGAATAAAATTGGGATGCACTCGAAATGCTCAATGGAGGGAACTAATTTGTGGGCCGATTGACGAACGCCACACATGAGCTCGAGAGGGGTGGCAGAATGCCATCGAAAAAGGGTTTCACATGTGATGGTTTTTTGCCCATCCGTCCATCCGCTCGGAGTTGATGCTGCTAATATGCCGACGAGGAGTATCTATTGGGTCGTTTTGCGCCTTCTTCAAGAGTTTAGTTACTTCGGGCGCTACAACAGCGCTCAATAGAGTGGCTCGATGTGTGGCGTTCGTTTGAAGGGAAAATTTGTTTGATTTTCCGCTTGTTTGACTCAAGTGAGTGTGTGGTGAGAGTGCCACGGTGACGGGCAGGATGAGCACAAGATGAGTATGTGCTTGGATTGATTTATTTGTGGGCCGTGTGAAGAGACGGTGAGAGCTTCCCGCTGGAATGGATGGAGAAGCCACAGTCGAAAGTAGTCTTTTTTGCCACAACCCGGCTATTTTTACATCTCACCCACACCAACAATGTGTACACAATTTCCACCTCAGAATTGAATTCTCAATCGTCGCACCATTTTTTGTCCCCCTGAACCATCTTTAGCGCTAAGCAAGGGTGGAACAGACTGAAGGGAGTGTTGAGAATGATGTACTTAAAACGTTCAGTTAAGTTTGATGGATTTGCTAGAAACACTTAAAGTGTACACTGTACGGAAGCTTTTGCTTTCCCTTGTGCACCTCTGCACTTGCTTTCTTCCCTGCAATCTTCGCTCAACCAAATATTGACTTTGAACCTCGCTGTGAACCTTAATTGGCATCAATCAGATAAAGTAAAGTCGAAGAAATCAATGAGGATGGCGTGTTGTAATTAAAAACTAATTTGCCAATTTGTACATTTTCGGTGTCAAGTGGCGTCCAATGGATCAGAGATCACGAGGAAAGGAAGGTGAGCGTCAGGAAATGATGTATTGCACATATGGCGTTATTTTGGCGAACACAATAGGAAAGGAATGAGGCGCTGAAAATAATCACAGATAAGGCGCGTAACGAATAGACGCGGGCGTTTGCCTTACGTTGTTGCTGTTCTCCGTCATTTCGATGGTCGTGTCCTGGGGCTGATCCAGAGAGGCAATGTCCGGATAAACAGCCGGACTGAAACTCCTGTCACTCTCATTCCTCTGCAAGTTTCCTGAATTTTCACCAACATCAGTCGTCATTGTTGTGATGGAAATTAGCCGTGTCGCCTCACAACTACACTTTCACCCGTAACTTGAGGCGCGTTTAGCGTGCAAATTGTATGGCAAGAAAAAAGTTCTCAGACACTGCAATCCGAATTGTGGCCAGAGAAAGAGACGCGTTTCTGTCTTCCTTCCTGGAGTTGTTTTTTCCCTCGTCGCTATCCGAAGACGGTTTAAAGTGGACTGAGTGAGACTTTTGCCAGCAAACTGAAAGGTACACATAGGCGAAAAAGTTTGATAATTGATTTTTAATTTCAAGATAATGGGCGAAATCAGTGAAACGTCAATTAATATGTCTTCTTGGGGAGACGACTACAAAAGCAGGAGGATTTTCTGATAAGGCATTCGCGCGGTTTTTGCGTATATGGCGATTTTTCCGTTTGTTGTGAGTGAATGTCTCGCCCTCAAGCCTTCGCAACTTAGTCATTGGCATGCGATTCCGGTGAAAGAAGTCCCAGCAATTAATGAGGAAAGCATTTTGATTGATAGTTGTTGCGCGACTTTTGATCGCAATTCCTCATGTAATGTTCAATTGTACGTCTTTTCTATTTCGAGCCTCTGCACCTCACAAATTCCTCATTAGCCATAAATTTATTATCGTGGGCATGATATCGATTCCCCGCATGCACGACCGATAATACTTTTAATTTGTCTTCAGAAGCCAGTCCCTGAGTGGAACGTGACTGAATTTCCTCTGCACTTGAGCTGCAGCAAAGGCACCGGTTTTGGTCAAGTATTCGGGCTTTGGGAGTTCTGGATGTCCTTTCAGATGGTTAATAAAGAGCTTTGTAGACCTGAAATACAAAAAAAAAATTGTCCACAACTAATTAATTAAATTCTCAGTGTGTTGAAAAAAAGAAGGAGGTTCAAGAACTCACTGCAAGTGCTCAATTCCTCGGAAAAGTGTCTCTTTGGTGCGAAGGTCTTCGGGGAAAACAGTCTTGGACGGCTCCACTTCCCTCACCAGTCGCTTTCGATGGCGCAACGGAACGGGAAGATTCTTCCCAAAGGCCACGTATCGTTCAGCTTTTCGATTCTGGATGGCATCCTGACGCCGGATCCTTTCCACATTGGCGGGAAGACTCCGCTGAAAGTGGTTAAGAACTCTGCTGATGACTGCCGCAGGCGCACTGAAGGATCTGCCTTACCTCTCTGCCCATGCAGTATTGCTCCAGAACTTCCTCAGGCAATATGTATAGGTCTTTGTACTCCACCTCGAGTCCTCGGAGGGAATCTCCGGTGGCGAGAACGGGAAAGAGCTGTTTTATCCTGTCCTTGGTTACTGTCTTCAAGGACTTGTCGCTGGCCAGGGAATTCAGCCAGTCACTGAAGTCCTGCGCTGCCAAATCCACGAGATCCTCCACTTTATCGTGAAGTGGCTGAAGATGCCATGAACTTTTATCTACGCGATGCAGCTTTGATTGCCACTTGACGCGCTCCTTTGGGGGGAAAGCGATAAGAAAGGTGGGCCAAAAGTCATCTGAGAGTGATTTCGCTTATCAATAGAGACACACACGGAAAAGAATAAACGTGCCGTTGGAAGGTCGAGTGACCAAATCGCGCTATCTTTTATCACACTTAGAGGAGGAGCCAACACAATCATATGACATACCTTCTTTGGTTTTCGCATGTACTCTGAAATCCAGTTGTTCTTCTCCACTCCAAGTCTCTTAGGCAAACCAACAGGCTCGATCTTGATGGCGAATATCTCATTCTTCGTTCCATCTCGCTTAGAGAGTTTCGTCTTCAAAACACCCTTAATTGTGGAGTCAGAATCATCAGATTTCTCAGAATTTGTCTCTACTGATGACGTGTCATCCTGAATTTGGAACTTATCTGTGAGGAAATCAATTGGGATTATTCTTCCAATTCGATTCCTCAAATTTTCCGGCAGTGGTCGATACAGCTCAGCAATTAGTCTTGGCTTGAACGTGTGCTGAAAATGTAGTTTTATCACTCAAGAGCAAAATGAATAGTTTGCGTGTTACCTTCTTGGAGGACTTTTCAATCTCTCTAATGAGTTCCTTCCAGTAATTCTTCTCCTCTGGATCATTCTTCTCGTACTTGGACGAACAAACCCTTCTCATTTTCACAAACTGTTTAATCGATATATGCTTCTCCGCATAATAACAACAACTTGTTGCATTCTCAGCATTTTTAGAACTCAGCCGAGATTCAGTGGAGTTCTAATTAGAACATTCAGTAAAGTGTTATTCACAATGATTAACTCTTTGAGGGATTCTCATGTGGCTCATTTTTTACCTTGCCGCAAATGCTCAATTGAGTGAAGAATTTCCCAATAGTTTCTTTCTCTCCTCTTTTCTTTATTTTTCACCCCCTGGAGATTTCTTTGAATTACTTCTCGTGCTATTAGAAGTTTTCCTGGCGAATCGCTTTAAGAAATGACTCAATTTGATGGTCCATTTGGGAGGAAATGTGCGAATTATCCCAGTAATTCCATAAGAGTGTGAAAATAGTTTTCCAACCAGGCAAAAATTCACTGTTCACACGAGACCATTGCAAAAAATCCTTAAAAGTTAAATTGAATTTTGAAGCATTTCAACTTTCTTGCAACTTTGATTGCTTCATGTATTGTTGCGGATATTTTGAGTCATATGAATGCAATGAACAGAAGTTTTCTCTCTCATCTCTTTTGAAGAGAATAGAAGGGAGAATTTGTCGTTGATGTCATGACCATTCGCTATTTCGGAGATGGGGAAAAAATGAATTCAATATTTTCTCCTGATCAGAGTTGTATTTTTACTTTTATATTGACAAAAGAGCGTGAGAATGCAGTGGATGTGATTTTGACGGCTTTCTAAACTGCTTTGAGAAATATTTTCAAATTTCAATATCTTCCCATTTATATACATTTTTTGGCACTTAAACTTTACGGTTTTAATAGCGTTCAACTCAGAATTTGTCTCTCTCCCATACTCTCCGGGTCTGGACATGGCTGGACAGAAAGTGAGCAGTCAGTTTGAGGGTGAAATCACGAGTAAAAATCTGCGGCTACAGATGAAACCACACTTGTACAAGAGTCACAGATTGCATGCTTGTGATCTCTCTTTTTTCCATCCTCTCTGTGTATCATATTGTTTTTCTAGAGACGCTCTGGATTTCTTCTTTTTCATCTGACCATGATATATAGCGAAGCACTCTATAAGTGGTTAGAGTCAATTTGATGTCTTATTTGTGCTTTTTCGCATGACATGTCACAACATGTGAGAAGAACATCAATAGACGAAATTTTGTGCATTTATGAGAGTGTTTTCTCTCCATGTCCAGTAAGTGCTTTATAATATCTTTCGCCATAGTTTCATCAACTGCCATAAACAATTTCTTGGGAGAAGTATAGTTTTCTCGAAATTCATCGTTCTCAATAGGAAGTGTGTGTGTGTGAGAGGAAAATTGTGAATCAAATTGGAATTGTCTCCAAAATGGGGAAAACCTAAAATGCGTTATGGAATTGTATGTAACATCTGTTCCTGATTCCTTGACTCACTCTCATGATGCTCGAGGATGTGGGGTAGTTTGAATGGGAAGCTCTTGGTGATTCCTCAAATTTTGCAGACTAGCAAAAGAGGGATTAAGCAGTACCAAAATTCACGCGAATCACATTTTGATTTAATATCCACTGATTGCCATTTGATGATTTTGCCATTAAAACACTGGCTGTCTGTGATGTCTGTTTTATTGCTCACTTTTGTCGTTGGAAAACTCCACATCTCAAGGTATGCAAAAGCTATCCCAGAAGATGTACAAATATTGCTGGCTGTCGCATGTCTGAGACGCTATAGACACGTACATCGCCTGGATGAACTCTTCACCTGGCGCCATTCACGTTCCGCTTCAATATTCCTCCTCTCCATAACCATTCACCTCAATGAAGAATTTAAAATTGATTAGTCTCAGTCATAACGACAAAGCCTTATTGATTCCAGCTCTTCTCTCATCAATTTTGTGGGAAGGGGAAAAGAAGTTTGTTTACAAATGATTCTGCAGATAGTGTAAAAGTTGCAGTGAGAGTTTTGAGACAAATGAGAAGGAAAGGAGATAATTTCCCAAACACAGATTTTATACTTTACAGCCAATACAGCTTTCTTGTCGACGTGAGGAAAATGAGCAATTTTCTCCTGGCGGCAAAGTTTTTCATTACACAGCTGGGCGGCGGGAACGGAGGGTGGCCTATTTTGTGAATGTTTTGTGTGCAATCCCGAGAGGAACTCAATTCAAGACATCATCCAACATTGATTACTGCTCAAGTGTATTGCCACAGAATGCTCAGCCGTGGGAAGAGAAAGTTGATGATGCAGAGGAAGTTTGCGTGGGGGTGATTTGGTGGATTGGAAGTTATGTCGTTTCCTGTGTTAACAGACAATTGATCAAATCAATCAATGCGCCAAAAGCCAGCCTGGGTGTGTACATTGGCGGCCCGAAATACAAATTGAATAATCTCGGAACACCATCTCTTGTGGTCAAATATTTGCACCCGATTTACTTGGCTCCCTTATTCCTCCACATGCACATCACCATCGATAACTCCAATATGTTCTCACTTGACTGACTGGACAGTCATTTGAGGGGAGGAAATCTCCGGCCAGAGTCAGAGATGGGCATTTGGGTTTTGGTTTATGCGAGGGGATTTATTCTTATCCACTCTTGGCCTTTCTCACTTGCTCTCTCCCCAAACAAAGCCAAATGAGAGACGCATGGGTGAGGTTAATGTGCCATTTGATTGACTATTTATTCAACCATAATCGATTCATAGCTTCTCGTCATTGCCTCAATATTTCTCCACTTCCGTACGAAATAAACACCATCAGTTTTCAACCAAAATTGTGTGAAAAGCATGCATTTTTCAGCAGTTACAGGTTAAATTTGAAGTTTCCAATTGATGATGAATAAGCAAAATCTCTTATGAATGAATCGCTTCGTCAAATTAATAATCCATATTTAAATTTCATTGCCCCTAATGACCTTACTTATATGTATATAAGTATATATGCATATGTATACACATATATAAGGTGACGCATTGTTGAAGTTGTGTGTTTTTTTGAATTCTCCCCCAAACAGACAATTCCTTCACCCCTTGTGATTTACATTCTAATTCTCCTCTGTCTGCAGTGTGCAAGAGAACATGCAAACGCTTTTTTGTAGTTTGTGGAACTGTTGAGGTAAAAAGAGCTTTTGATTTTTCATTGTCTCCTTCTCTTGTTTAAATTTCACATAATCACACGTGACGGTGGCAGGAAAGGGGAAGCATACATTCGTCTTTTTTCCTTCTTTGTCTGGCTGGACAAAAAGTTTGCCATTCAAAGAAAAATGTGTATGGCAAATAATGAGGAAAAAGAAGGGAAAAGCGCTCTCAGGAAAATGCTCTCTGGTCGGGGATTTGGGTGTCTCTAATTAAATTCTTCTCATTTGTTGCTGTGCCGGGATTTTTTTTCTCTAGTCTGTCAATCAAGCGAGAGGAGAAATTTAATTAGAGTCACAATTTAATTATGCATTTACTCACTTGGCAGTTGTTAGTGTATTAAAATGGCCGTTGAAAATGTCTCATCAAACAACAGTCAAAAGTGCAGTCCACGATATAGTGTGACATAAATCTCTATGGCTAATTGGTCTTCTCCACACGCGTGGTTGTCGGTTGAGTTGAATTAACACTCACCAAAATCTGATTATATCGCGTGGTGCATTGTATTTGGGGTAAAAACAATATCATATGCTGAGGCATCCCTGTGTCTCTGGGGTGGTCGCGGAAATTCATTTGGAACATGGATTTGAGTGAAGTCCACGGACGGACACCGGCGCTGCTCGGTCTAGTCAAAACGTGGTGGTTGTCGTTCATAATATCGTATTAAATGACGACCAGACCACAGAATGTGTTGCCCAGTTGTGCGGGAGCTTTTTGATCTCTTCTGTTGGGCTTTTCATGCACTCGACCTTTGCAGCTGCCCCAATTTGTCACATTTCTCGTGGGCTTGTTTTGACTATTTGTCCCCATCCAAAGTTCCCCCTCCAGCCAAATATGGTGGAAGCAAATTAGGTAACGAAAACATCCTAACACACACATTTCGTCATTATTCGGCGGTGCCAGTTTGGTAAGACCACAAGTTGATTATTTGAAACATCTATCTGCGCCTGGGGTGAAACAAAGCTTTCCCTTCAATCCATTTAACATACCAATATATCAACACAAATACTGCAATGCAAACTACACTGCAAGTAATGTTTCTTTCTACACTGCATAAGATAGTCGTTTGTTCAAAATGTACACCAACCAATCGTTAGTTCGTTTGTGAAGACTCAAAATTTCTCCATTGTTTCAACACTCTTCCTAATTGATGGTTCTTCCATGTTTGGATTTTACACAATGCATATGAGGACATAGTTGAAAAGAATTTTCAGAAAGAAGTGAGCCAAATATTTCCCCGGAACTCTTTAAACAAGTGTTTTGCTGCATTAGCACAAAAAGCTCTTATGCAGGTTGACGTGCGAGCAACTCTCGTAGTCTCGTATGTACGCGGCATTAGTGCACTCGGTGTATATTTAAAGGGCACACAGAGAATGAAGTATTAACACAGGAGTGTAACAATGAGAAATTACAGGTGTTAGCAGTGATTTCAAAGTTACAGACTTGTGATATGAATGGTAAATGATGATGAGGAGAGAATTGCACGCTGCGAGTGTGGGATTTGTTATGAATAAGCAGTGGAATGCATGGTGATGGTTCAAAGGCGGCGAATGAGCCCAGAATGATGAAAAAGGTGCTTCGTAATAAAAGTTGCCACAATTTGAGCGTAAAGAAAATTCCTCAACCAAATACTTGGCAAGTGTTGAGTTGGGAGAACAAAAGGGGAAGTGTAGAAAGGAAAATAGGCGCATTGTGAGATGATGAAAGTAAATAGTGGAAAAGGATGGAAGGGTCTTTCAACTGAAATGTTAATTTCAGTGTTTGCACTGCAAATATGAGGAAAAAAAAACTGTGCAAAGATTTTCCCCAAGGATTTTTCGTTAAAAATTGTGTGGACCAAAGAAAAATCCAATTTATTTGAGAGTATAATTATATTGTAGAAATTTC